CCAGCTCTCTACCTTTCCCTGTCATTGTGCCAACGTTAAGAGTCCCTATTCTCAGACCTATACTCCTGCCTTTCCTCTTCTTTCTCTGTCTACGACTCCTTCTACCTCCTCTCCTTCTTCAACCAACAGTAGTCCGATTTCCGCCAGCACCCTGTAGGTCAACAGCACTGGTGGCGATCGTTGTTAACCCGGACCTCGACCGATCCGGTATGGAATTCGCACTGATGGATTCGCATGTTTAAATTTGGTATGTTTTTACGCAGGATGCCCTTCCTGACGCAACCCTCTCTATTTATCCGGGCTTGGGACCAGCATAGAAGTCACTGGCTTGCAACCCCTGTGGCTAGATTGGTGTTAACAAAGCCATTGTTTAGATAAAATGTTGTTTGTAAAGAGAGAACTCTTTTAGGATTTGGAGTGAAAGATAAGTACCTATGGATGAGAAACAGTAGTAGTTATTTCCTAAATAATTCTTAATGAACCCAAACTATCGGGTTGAACTTCTTTAAACTATGATGTCATGAAACAGCCATAAAATTATTATTTAATTGTCAGACTAATAAATGCGTGCAACCTGCATCTGTTGCGGTCGGTTGAAAAAAAAAGAGTTGGAGACACTGGTACACATCGCCGAGCGAGCTGTAGCCAATGGCCTGAGACCTTACCTTACCGTCTGTGATGTGTGGAGGCCTGGTGGGGGAGAGCTACCAGCATGCCTGCAGGATTGTTATGACCGCTCCAACTGTAATGTTCAGAAGGCCGGGGAAATTAGCCTACAGTACTCGCTTTTTGTGGAATATCTTCACTAGCCTATGGAAAAAAAATGTCTTCACTACGCATGGGTCATGCTTCACCCGCTGTGTGTGACTACCCCTTGAATGACAAGAGACGGGCTTAGAGAGATATCGGTACACCACCCTGTGGGGAGTGACCTGAGCCATACTGGCTTGTTTCTGGAGATGAGAGACAATAAGTTGTTTGTTCAAAATTTGAATGGTTAACAAAGCAGTTGTTTGGATAACATGTTTTTTTCTGAGGAGAGAACTGTTGTAGGTTTTTGAGTGAAAGAGAAAGAGATCTATGGATGAGAAACAGTAGTATATTCTCTAAATAATTCTGAATTAATCTAAACTATTGGGCTGAACTTTCTTAAACTCTGATGGCATGATACATCCTTGGATCCCGAAATAAAATTATTATTTGCAATATTAATTTAATTATTGAAATGAAAAAAATGCATGCCTAATATTTATTCTAAATTAAATTCATGCCTTGAACAATAATCCTTTGTAGTTATAAACATCTGCATTTCCC